AAAGTGTCTTTGATCCACATTTCTTTAGCATGTTAATATTTTGGAACTGGTTAGCAAGGTTCATGAATAATTTAACATGATTAAAATTAGTATGGAAGTTTGTCACTACATAGAGAAGAAAAAAAATGAAACACCACAATCCACAATACCAAGTTATCTGAGAGTAATCTTCAAAGCAAAAGCAGGCTCACCCTAGGGAGTTGCTTTGTTACAGATTTCATCTAAGGAGGACTACATTGCAACTGGAGAGCTCAGCTCAATTGCACTCCGGTAAATTTTTATTAGTCACTGGGGCTAGGGAAGAGGAACGTGAGTGGCTCGTGTCTGAGAAAAGATAGTCTACAAATACGGTCAGGATCCCTTTCCGCAGAGAAAATTATTCTCTCTCATCTCTCGCGTGCGAACCTCTAAAGCCCTTTTCTCCTTCGCAGTTCCGTCATCAAGACTGCAGAGGTTAGACAACTCCACTGTTCGCACATACTCATGTTGACAAGCCACTCAAAGGAGGCAGCGCTAACCTGCTGTGAGTAGTGTCTCTTGGCTGAGTGACAAGGCACCGACAGAAAGAAAGATGGGGTTTACAGAGACTAGTCAATATACCCCATACCTTTTGGTATGGCCCTAGCAGCACAGAGGTGTGGTCAGGCCCTATAAGAATCTAGAAGTCCTAATCCTTCATCTAGCATTTCCTATCGTTATCAGTCTTCTGTGTTTTGTGATCTGCCTACTTTAGGCCTGCCACTCAGTCATTCCTCATTAATGAGTTGCTGAGCAAATTATTTTCGGTGGCATTTTATGTTGACACCTACATAGTTTTATTAATATGAGTCTGGCATTTGAATCTCAGACTTCAAGTGTCTGTCCTAGCAGGAAGCCAAAACAGAACAAAGGAATTTGTGCAAGTTTGCAGTCAAGTAGTGTAAGAGGCAGGAAGTTAGATGTGGATTAATATTAACAACAAAGTTGAAAATAAAAATATTAAATTTCAAAAAAAATATTAAATTTCCAATGTCTTGTCTCTACCACCATGATTTATATATGTTGAAATCAAGTATTAATTTTAAGAATCTGGGAAATATACATAGAAACAAAATTTGGAAGAATTGGGAACAGAAATTGTGTAAAACTTTGATATATACCTAAGACATAAGTCATTTGTAAGGAATTACCAACCAGTGAAAGGTATTATTTCATCTACATAACATGGAATTTTCTTTTAAAACTTTTTTATGAGTAAAACTGCTTTCCTAGACTTAGAAGTTTTAAATTTTTGAAAATTCCTTTAACCTAAAATTTGGGTGTACCAAACTACCCTATGATTTCCAATGAGCTGATATTTGGAAAAGAATATTTTTGCAGCAGCATGCGTACCCAGGGATGGGATAAGAATGCGGAAAGAGAGAGCAGCAATCTACCTTGTGCTGTTTTTTTTTTTTTTCATTGTCTTAAATCAGGATCGCTGTACAGTGTAGTCTTGTCTTCAGGACTAACACGGGAAGTGACATGTTGCCTTACATGGGTCACTAACTGATAAAACCGAAAAAAGAAATAAGACAAATTTTTTAATTTCACAAAATGTTATGCTAATATAATTTTTATTGTGATATACTCTTTGGTTTCATAAGGCATGGCTTTGAATATATAAAAATATTGCTAAGTATGAGACTTTCCAAAATACTGTTTATAACAGATTCAACATATAACATACTAAGTTTCTCAGAAATTTAATAATTCACGAGCTTATAAATGACTAATTCTTATAGTAGTGCTTGCTGCTTAGCTTTAGGCTCATGCGTAGAATTAATCTTGAGCTGTTTGCAATTTTTCCGTGCATGTCATTCTAGTTCATATTTCCTAGTTAGTAAACTTTAAAGGGAATAAACATATGAATAGGCTCATTGAAGGCAGTCTTTACTTTTATTCTGGTGAGAAATTAAAACGACTGTTGTGACCAACAAAGTCAAAACAGATTTCTTATTGATCTTTTGTGTCGGTAAGCGCAATTGTTGGATTTTCCTATTACATCATGGCTGTCATTGGTAGTAAAATACATACAGCCGAAACAGAAAGTTCAAAATGTGCTATGGTTTATGGTCTGTCATGACTAAAGTAAAGCATCATTTTAAGAACCCTAAAATATATGAACTAGAATCTAAATCTATTCTACGGAATAGGTCATTTCAACCCAACGTAATAATTAGCAACCTATAAAAAATTCAGACGGCATGCTGCCATTCTACGTGACTATCTCAGTTTCTATTATAGCCGTACTTTTGCCAAAGTTGAACAAATCCTACTTAACATCCCAGAAATGCAATAAGTGGAGACTAGCAAATGTCACTGATCTACTCTTAGGGACATGCTAGATAGCTTTCTTTGCATTGAGGTTTTAGATCAGACCTATGCACCCCAGAGGACAGTGGGAGCCACTGTTAGGAGCTACCAATCAACTCATGACATTCGTTTCCCTTCGCAGATGTCATCTTTTCAGTATACACAACCTAAAGTGCACTACTGCCTAGGAAGACAAACGGAGAAAGCCTTTATGAAGACTGGAATTCTAAGGACATACTATAAGTAACAGTTTACCAAACGTTAAACACGGGATTTTTGGGGGGAGTCAGATATTAAGTTTGGTTAGTTTATTATGATTGTAATAAAACGCTTAAGTCGTCTGAAATACGAACATCACCCACATCATAAATTCTGTACATCCGATGCTTTTATGAGATGGAATTACTTGTTTTTTCATGTTGTAATATAATAGGCATTTATGTATGACTGTGTATCATTTCTTTTTAAATGTGTAAGTCTCCTGTAAATGGATATAAATATGATTTTTTTAACAAATAAAATATATGGTTCATGGAGTCCTGAGTGAAAACATTAAACAATTCCCAGTCCTGTTTGTATTTTCCCATCCCACAGTTTTTACAGTCAATCAATATGTTTCCTAGAAGTATGTTTCATGCTTCAACATGCTTCTTCTTTAAGTCTGTCAAACCTTACAGCTGAACACCTGCCTCTGATCATGTAAAAAAAAATTAAAAAAAAATAGAGAGAGAATGATTTAACCTGGACCTGGAGCCAAAACTTACCTTTCAAGGCAATCAGGGATGTGATGTCCTCTCTCTGTCGAAAAAGCACTGTGATGGCTCAATCTCCTTTTCAACAACAACAACAAAAAAGCCAAACTCTGTTTACAAGCATCATATGCAATGCTTTTAAAAATTTGTATTAAAAAAACAACATTGTCTAATCCTGTTGCCTGTGGACCAAGAAACACACACACACAACACACACACACACAACATAGACATGCATACATACAACCCAGACACACACACACACACACACACACACCTTCTTTATTAAGAACCCACATGTTCATTCAAATACCCTGAACTGCCAGCTAACCCTGGACAGTGAGTGTCTAACACTGTGGAGTCGGAGGCCCATCTCCACCAGGAACAAAAACACAAACAAACTGAACCCTTTAGCACCCCCCACCCCTTTTTTAAAATCACTGTTAACAGGGCATTAGCCAGACTGAAGTCTAATGTTACTCAAGTCTACGCCTTTAGCTGAAATGACTTTTTTTGTGACTTCCCTGAATTCATTTTCATCCGAGGAAAAAAGACAGAATGATGAAAATATATAGTGTATAAAACGTAGAGAAGAGTCATCTCTTTCTTGTGGCTTTATTTGGTGGTGTCACTGTTGTTTATTTCTAGTTTATATGGGAGATTTCAAAGTGAAACCTATTTAACAATACCATTGATCGAACTGCTGTTTACCTGCTGCTTGGTCTTATTAAGTGCAAGACCTGTCATTAGTAAATTCTTTTTTGTTTCTTTTGTATTTTAATTTGTTATATTTGCACATACATTTGTTTTGATGTCTATTTTTGTTGAACAGATTCAATCAAAAGGTAATGGTAACAGAAGCCCTCTCCATTGTCAATAAAAAAAAATAATGCTTCCAGTTTTCTGCTTAAGCTTTGTTTTCTAGTAGTATAAACTTTAATGATTTACTCGAATTACAAAGACAATCACTCAGTGATTTCCAATGCAGTTTTCTTTGAAATCAGGTCTGCCACTAGAGGGAGGTCTAAACCAGCTGATGGAAGTGTTTTGAGTTTAAAAAAAAAATGTTGCTCATGTAAAACCGGTGTGAAAGGGGCAAAGAGCAGCTCGTGATGAGAATGAACTCATCTAAATGAAATATAAGAGAAACTAAGATACTCCTAAGATATAAAAATTATATACCAGTACAGTAACTAAGGTTGCAGAGCCATAGCGAAAGATAGGCGATATCTAACCTATAACGAAGGAAAAATTATTTTGGCTGATATTTTTGGATAATCCAGCTCAAGAATTGTCAGATCTGCATGTTTTGGGAAATCAAGTGTTGTGAGACGGCGTGACAGGATGCATGTACTAGAGAAAACTGCTTATCTCAAAGCCACGGATATGAAGAACGTTGATGGAATGGAACCATACAGTCCCCTAGGGAGAGGTTCCCTTCAGTGACCTAAGCCTTTCCCATCATCATCGCCCTGCCTGGCACTCAGCACAGAAGTTTTGGGGGACATTTCATAGCTAAGTCTAGCAACTACTCACTCAGTCACCAAAATCAGTTTCTGCTTTTGAGAAACTACATTTAAAAAAAAAATTACTGGTGATATGTATTAGGTACTAGCAGTGTGATACATTGCATCCAACTACTTAGCCTCAAGGAAATGCAAAATATGTTTTAATGTATTAGGATATTTTAGTCAGATTTGAAAACCAGTTTCATGGATTGAGTTTTGAGTCTAAATTTCTGGGTAGTTTGTTTTTTATTTTTTGTTTTTCCCATATGACCACCAACATTAGGAATATTGACCAAGCTTTTTCAAATACAATTTTATATAAATAAACCTACCTTTTGACATGTAAAACAAGTTTCATTTATATCTGTTGAGTGTATTTTATCGGGCAAAATAAATTGCCACACTCTTTAGTTACTAAAGTACATTTATTTTTGTTTCAAATGTTTTACAAATTTAAAAATTTCATAAAATACAAGATTACACAGAACCAATTTAGGTAAATAGAAGTATGGTCACATTTTGTAGAATTATTGCTATCAAAGACACACCCAATTCAAAAAACTTCAGCTGAAATTTGGCAAAAATAGTATAGTGATACTTAAAATAAGAAGTCATTTAATTTTCTCCCCAAATTGTAAACTGTCTGATGCATATGTTAAATATTTCATTTCTCCATTTTATCCACATAAATGTGACCACTGTCTCTGGACTGTAGTGGAGAAGTTCCTCACTGAAATATAAGAAACAGCTCCATCCAAAGTGTAATGCACTTGACTTTTTGTTTGCTTATATGTTTTTTGTTCTTAGAGTCCCACAATTGGAAAATAATGCAGGCCTGTTTGCGGAGGTGTCCCTTCAGATCTGTTAAAGAGGAATATCTACAAATGATTTGAAGATAATCCTTTTTCAGTCCTTAGATTTGCCTGAGTTTGTAACTTGCAAACAAAAATGATGAATTCAGTTAAAATATCTGACTCAAGTGGGGGAAAATAATGAACTGCACCATAATGCTAACATATTAAAAATAATAATGGTTTTTAACCCTATAGTCTTGATAATGTATAAAATTTACACATACAATGGGAAATTCAAAGAACTGAACAGGTTCTAGTAATAATATGTATATCCAGTTGGTTTAACTCAAGGTACCAAAACAATTAAAGAGAATAAAGATATTGTTTTCAGATTTATCAATGAAGAAGGTAGTTTAATCAGTAAAAGTTTCCTTTGAGAAGTCACTTATTATCTACGCAAAGGAGAGCTATATAAAATACACATATTTTATGACAGGAAAATTCTAATTTGTTGCTTTCCACCTGCATTTCATGTATTTGAATGGTTATGTTAGAACATTGGGCTCTTCATAATAATATTTCCCAAAAACTGAAGTACTGAGAAATTATTCTGAAAACTTTCAATGATTCAATGAAAGTATACTTTTTGGATTTAAATGTATGCTCTGATGAATAATACATGTAGAGCTCTAAGCTCGTTAATTATTTCTTTCTACTCTAGTTAATGGGTATACTTCTATAACCTTATTAAAGGCTCATTTTCAATTTTTTGAAAAGGCTCAATCATTTTATAGAAGTGTAGATGGAAATAAATGTTAGAGCATAATTTGTAAATGAGTTAACGTTTATTCAAAGTTAAAACTTGCAGTAAAAGCAGACATTTGGGGTTCTCTTGAAACTCAGAGGTTCGTGCAGTCTTCCTCCTGAGCCAGATTTGACTGTTATGGCTGCCTCCTAGATGGAACACATGATTTCCAGTACTTAACGCTTCATATTCTTATTAAAAATCCCTTGTTGGGATATATGGCTCAAGAATCCACCATAAATTCATTGATCTCCTAGAGTATAGCTCAGTGGAAGAGTGCTTGCCTAATGTGCAGAAGGCTCTGGGTTTGATCCCATAAGAGAGAGAAACAAACAAACAAACAAACAAACAAAAACGCGAATTTGGAACTCAGTACAATAGTATCCCAACAACCGAGATTTAGAGTACCAGGGTTTCCAAGACAGCCACACTCATGTATAGTAGATGTGAGGCCAACCAAGAAAACATGTCACCTTGTCAAAAAAAAAAAAAAAGAAAGAAAGAAAGAAAAAAGAAAGAAAAAGAAAAAACAAAACAGAATGGGGGAACTCATTGATATTATCTAGAACATCTTCTAATTTTTAGAATAAGACTAAAACTTCCCTATTTTTCTTTATATAATCCGTTTATCACTTCATTCCATTTCTACGCAATCAACTCGGGCAGGGGATTTGACGAGCCTCCATTCTACAAAAGATTTGAGGGAAAACTGTCTAATTTCTCTGGCAGACATATGCCTCCCCTTACCCGGTCACAGACAACCTAGAAATGGTAGTCCATTCTGGGACCCTGTGTTGCAGAGAACCTAGCAACACGGCTCCATTCTCGGCCTTGTGTTGCTTACACGATCATCTTTAGATGATTACCGTAAACAAGTTAGTCATCTTCAAAACATTAAACATCTGAGGTTCCACAATAACAATGGAAATTATATTTTACCTTGATTTGAATTTAGATTTTGATCAAAGGGTGGCTGACTCTTATCTCCTGGAAGTGTGCTTATATTACAGATGCTTTCAACTGAAATATGTTTGTAAGGCAGATGAATTTATAAAAACGTACACCAAAGACATGTTCCTTAATATGCAAGATAGCATATAATGATTCATGTTACAGGAAAGAGGTAACAATATGAACTGGCTCACATAACATAACATAACATAACATAACATAAAATATAGCCCTTTCATGGGTTATTAGACTGAATTAATTCTAAGGCTCACATTTGAGTTAAAAATGAATTTTTAAGTATTTACTTATAGAAAATAAACAACTTAAATCCAGTTAGAAGATGAAGACAGACTGACTGGACATAGTAGATAAAAATCACAGGCTCTGCCTCAGCACTTCCTCTATGTGACCAAAAATGCTGGGGTCCTCAATAGTAGGCGTTACCTGGAAAGAAATAGACAACATCACATGCTCACATCCCCTTTAACTTCTTGTATAACAAACAGTGATATACTTTGCTTTAGCACTCCTCTTTTTTGTTTTGTTATGCTTTTAACTTTCTTTGGATTTTTTACTTTTTTGACACAGTTGCTCCTGTAGTATAGGTTGGTTTCAAACACCTTACCTAGCGGTGGTCAGCCTTGAGCTCCTGATTTACCTACCTTTACTTCCCAAATGCTAGGGTTACAGGCCACATGATTTATACCACCAATTAGTTCACACACACAAAAAAAGAAACAGACAAAATGTGCGAAGTAGGGACCTTCAAGTACAATACTTAAAATTTAATCTTTAGGAATAGTCAAGGAAATAGTGTGTTTAGCAAAATTGTTGGTATGTCCGTGGCGTCTCTAGAATTTGTGTTTGTTTATTCTGAAATTCCCTCAGACAAATGATTCTTATAATTATATTAAGATTATTGATGAATTTATAGATGGTCATGACCATCACATGCATTGACATTGAAACATGTGTGTACTTGAGTCAGTCTAAAGTTTCCTAAGACAATTGTCTCTCTTCATTGTAGAATCAATTAGCACCGATATCCTAGAACATTTTAGACTTCTCAAATACTTCAATTTCTCATCATGGATGGTCATTAGTAATTATAATGAAGCAAAATATACATTTAGTTCAAAGAGATGAATTTCTTCAAGTTTGTTTGAAATGTACAAAACTGATAAATTCAAAGTTCACCCATCAGTTCCTATAAGTAAATCATATGATTTAACCAATATTTTTTTCTCAAGTTCTCATACTTTCAAAGTATGAAGGTTTGCCAGGCATAGAATTCATGATTGAAAATGTTAATTTAATAGAATTTTGTTTGTGCCACACCCATGATCAAAATCATTTCAAGACTCAGCATTATAGAATCTGAATGGTTTACCTTATAAGGCTTGCCATTTACCAAGGCAGACAGCGTAGACCGTGGAATCTTGCCAGACCTCGTTTTGGGTAACTGTTTGACAAAAACTGCATTTCGAAAAGCAGCCACAGGGCCAATGCTCTGCCTAACATGTTTCACGATTTCTTCCAAGACTTGTTCTTCTGTTGCATTTATATCTAGTGAGGAAAAAAAAGTGAGCTGGTAAGTGCGAAACTAATGGCAATCATTCCAATCCAAACAGTCAGGGACGACAGAGACGGCTCACCTTTCTTCAACACGCAGAGGGCTAAAGGAACATGACCTTTCAGAGGGTCTTCTTTGCCAACCACAGCACAGTCAGCAACAGTTCCATGTGAAAGGACTGACTGCAATAAAAAGGTCATGCTTTAGAATATATATATATATATATATATCGTGAAATCCATAGCTGCTTTCCTGCAATTTCCTACAGGTTCGCATCATTTCAACTGAGGCAAACAGTTAGGATCCCCACGGTAGTTACTCAGGGCGGACCGTAACAAAGATAAATTGCTTGGCTTCCCTGGAAAGTGAAGAGATTGTTTCTTCATCTTAATTGCTTGTTGATGACGTTAAAGAAAATACATTAAGAAAATTGTATGTAAACAGAGCCCAGAGGCCTTCTCTAACAGGAAACTTTAGGGGTGATTGATTCGATATCAGAGCTGTCTACCTAATACGTGTGTTTTTCAGTGGATCCAAGGATGACTCCCCCCAAAAAGTGAATTTATTTCTGAGGACTAATGGAGTGTTCTATTCCGTAGATGGATCCTTCCACCTAAAGAGGCTTCTCCAAATATAGGGGAAATTTTCCAGGAAGAGAATTCCTGGTACCAGATTATCACCACTATAGAGAACAATTTCTGTAGGGCTCACCTCAAGGTCAGTAGGTCATAAAGAGCAAAAGAGCATTATCTCTAGGATCACAGATTTATTTACCGCAAAAAATAGAGATGCCTATGGTTAAATTATCTACTTAGGTGTGACTGACACAAATGCATGAGCAAAAGTCCTCTGAGACTGAAGCACATTTGTCTTTACCAATGTCTAACGAGAGAGGACAGTCAAGAATCTTGATGCACAGCTCATTCCCCGGAGCTTATTCTGTCTGCTATTCATTCATTCAACAAATACTTGATGCTCTCAAAACTACAAGGCTACTGCAGTAGGCTCACTGAAGAGCAAATATGCACAAAGTATTGTACTGGATGCTTCTGTGTGTCAACTTGATGCAAGCTACAGTCTTCAGAAGAAGGAGCCTTAGCTGAGGAAATTTCTTCCTGGGATTCAGCTGGCAGGCATTTTCTCATTTAGTCATCAGTGGCGAAGGGCCCAGGCCTGAGCTGCTGGTCCTGGATTCTGTAAGGGGATGGGCTGAACAAGCTACGGGAAGCAAGCCAGTAAACAGCTCCCCTTCATGCCCCTTCATCAGCTCCTGCCTCTGAGATTCTTCGCTGTTTAGGATCCTTTCCTGACTTCTTTCAGGAATGAAACCAATGCTTAAATGTCAGTCAGGTCATGGCATTTTATCTCAGCAATAGAACCCCTAAGACAAATTGGTACCAGCATAATGGGGTATTGTTATAACAGACATGACCATGTTTAGGAGAGGATTGTGAAAGGACTTTGGAACTTTGAGCTAGAAGAACCATTGAGTGGTAAGAGCTCAGTGAGATGTTCTTTAGGAGCTTGGAAGGCAAGAATGTTGAGAGCACAGCATAAGAAAGAGGCCTGGCTGGTGAAGTTTCAGATGGAAGTGTAGAGACTCTATCAGGGCCATTGGGTATTGTGAATTAAAATTGTCTGTGGTTCCGGTGAGCTGGGGCTGAATAAACAAGAGACCAGAACTACTAATGCAAAATTTTGCTCTGCTGGGATGCGTGATGCTGGTCAGCTGAAGCTAAGAAACTCGTGGTGAACAAGGGAGACCAGCATCACTGAGGTGAACTCTTCTGGAAAGTGTTCCCAGAGAGCACAGAGAAGCTGTGTTCCAGAGGTGGCCAAGGTTGTACCTCGTGCTGACAGTCAGATTTGGTAATGTGTAAGCGTAACCCTTTTGAAGGCATGGAAGAATTATAGGGAGCACTTGAGGTTTAGCACGACGAGGGGACAGGAGAGACCATGGGTGAAGGTGCAGCCACAGTGGCCGTTGAAGACCCAGGACTAAAAAGGTCATGTAAAGAAGTTGAGGCTTGGCACTATGAAGATAGTCTATGAGAGGCTATCGGTGAAAGGATAGCCCAGTTACAACAAGGACTCCAGCAGTTTGGATGCCAGGACCATGGGAAGATCGACAAAAAGACAAGCAGCAGTGAAGTGGAGCCAGCCGGAGCCTGGAAGACAAGCTGTGTGTGCTGCAGAGGGCAGAGCTGGAGAAATGACCCAAGCCCCTGGAGGGGTCCAGAAGATCCTGAGTGAATCCCAGGTAAATGGACATTGAGTTCTTTATTCTGGTGGAGCTTGGTTTTGCTTGGTTGAGACCGTGACAGTGCCCTGGTTCTTCCCTCTTGAAGAAGGTATTTAATTTTGATTTTAAAAGGAGCCAACAGTTGAAAGACTTTAACTTTTTAAAAGAGATTGGCAATTTTAAAGGAGTTGAAATTTTACTATGTTTGCATTTATAAGAACTTGGGACTTTTGAAGTTATTTAAGATCTTGGAGATGAATAAGAAAGGAAGGGTTGTGACTGAAGAGTGATTTGTTTGTGTGTCGGGTTAATAAGGAGTCAGTTGTACTGGGTAGTTTAGTCAATATGACACAAGTTAGAGTCACCAGAAAAAGGATGCTCAGCTGAGGAAATGTCTCCTGTTGATCTAGCTGTAAGACATTTGCACATTTAGTGATCAATGGGGGAGAGGCCAGTCCATGGTGGGTGGTACCATCTCTAAACAGATAGTCCTGGGTTCTACAAGAAGGTGGGGTGAGCAAGCATGGGAAGCAAGCCAGTACGTAGCTCCCCTCCACGAACTCTGTATCAGCTCCTGTCTCTGGGAACCTGCCCTGTTTCCTGACTTCCTTCAGTGGTGAACAGCAATGCTAAAGTGGAAACTGAATTAACCCTTACCTCCCCAACTTGCCTTTTGGTCATGGTATTTTGTCCCAGTAATAGAAACCCTAACTAAGACATGGAGTCTATTCTATCAGAGAAGAAAGTTGTTAAAAAGTTATCATAAAGCCAGGTGGTGACAGCACACGCCTTTAAACCCAGCACTCAGGAGGCAGAGGCAGGCAGATCTCCATGAGTTCGAGGCCAGCCTGGACTACAAGAGCTAGTTCCAGGACAGGCTCCAAAAGCTACAGAGAAACCCTGTCTCAAAAAAAGTCATCATAAATGTTTAATTTTATGGCCATGTAGCTATAAAAAGGGATAAGATATCTGCAAAAGGATTATCTAAATGAAAGATGACACTGAAAGCTGCTAACATCACCCAAGGATATGGACCTCAGAGATAGTTTTCCCTTAGCATAAGACAATAAGAAGATATTAGTAGGCATTTACCAGTCAAGGAAGATGGGACAAGGGAAAATCTCAATGAAACTACCCAAGATTGATTCAGATCAAGAAATAAGTGAGTGAGGCTGGGGAATAGAGACCAAACAATGGTGATGGTAGAAGAGAGGCTGCTACTTACGAAAGTGAGCTGTTTGGAGATTTAATTCAACTTTTAGAAGCACTGGCAAGGAATGTAGCAATTTCAGGAATAAGAAATGCAAAGTCAGAGTGAGATTTTAAGGTATATATTTAGAGTAGGCATAGAATTACAATAAATTAAGCAGAAAGTGGAAACTCCCTGCATAGATCACGCCCTCATTCGTACACAGCCTGCCTGACTCATGTGCATATTTATACATCTTTGCTATAATTTATAGGTTCAGACAGTCTGTGGCATATATCACCACTGTACAATACACAGAATAGCTTCATTTATTTCCAAATGTCCTGTCTCTTCATTGCTCCTCCATTTCCATGATCCCTTCTTGACATTAATCCTTTTGCTCTACCCCAATTCCTTCTCATGGGACCATAAAATTATAACCGTATTGTTTCTATTTTCAGATTGACCTTTTATACTTAAGTAGAAGAAGATATTTTGAGAAACATGAACTTTTATATCAGTATGGAGAATAGCAAACTATTGAGGGAGGGAGGTGTCTGTTTAGACAGGGTAACATACTAAGGGTCTTATAGTGTACTCATGTTGGGGTAGTAGATGTAAAAATATCACATTAAGAAGCAAAACAGATAATCTTATGTGACAGTATTTAGTGTCTGTGTGTGAATAATCTAGAGAGATTATGTAAAGATAATAAGAAAACCCTAAGATGTGAACTTGAGTAGGTGGTTGGAAAAGATTCAGGTTTTTGTTTGTTTGTTTTTGCTTTTTTAAGCTTGAAATTGCTAGACTTAGGAAAAAACACTGGGTCTTGCCTCGAAGGTGGTCCCTTCAGATACATTGAAGACTTCTAAGTATAAAAGTTGTATACAGAACACTCATGACCTGAATATCACATGTAGACACAGATCATATTATTGAGGGAGGAAGTAGCAAAAAGAAAGTTTGAAGAAAATAAGGAACACTAACATCTAATGGACACTCACGAAAGAAGCATCTGGAAAAGTAGAAAAATCCCCAAAGATGCAGGGAATGTGTGTAAAACAAACACACCAGAATTAGGAAGGTGCTCACTTAAGACCCAAGTGTTCATTTTTACTTGCCATTGATTTCCTTTATGAAACCATATTAAAACTGTGCTTTCTCTTTTCAAAACCCTTGGAACTCTCAATAAACACAAGATATTTGGCACAAATCCAATTTGTGACCTCACACAGCCCCAACTGGAAGTGGTAATACAAATCACGACAATATCCCTTGTCTGAAGGCCTGGCTTGTGTTTCTGGTCACACAGCTGTTAACTCCTACAAATGCAGAGAATGGGGCATGCTAAAGAAGTGCTTGAAACAGCCATTCCTTCTTTGTCTCCAAAATCTAAAAAGTTCTGCTGCAGATACACCATGCAGTCTGTAAGCCAACATATTTAGCTACAACTTCTAGTCTGCTACAGTTTCTTTTCTCAAAATTTCCCGTTTTTATAACCTTTTTTTTTACATTTAAATTCCATATGTTGAAAATGCAGAGATAACTTACTTCCTGATTTTATTTTTTTTTGGTAGTTACTATAGTCAGTTGCCAATTATGATAAAATAACTGACTCAGAGCAAATGACACATAGATTTGGTAGGCAAAATAGCGTAATTTTGTTTTGATGAATGAAAATGGCTCTTTTGCTTGACTAGCTAGAGTCATCAATGAAGTGTTCCTTCGTACCCCAAGCCTCTGTAACCTAT